GGAATGTTTGGTTCCACCTAAACAGGACAGAGAATATTCAGTCAGTTTTACCATGGGCAATAACTCTTTGTTCTGTGTGTGGACTGTATTTTAAATAGGTAAATGAACTGAACTTACCTGTCTTGTCTTCTCCAGGGTGTCCTGTTAAGGGTTTCCCCTGAAACATGGGCACCATTTTAAAGGTTCTGAGGAGCCATGAGGCAGAGTGGGAAGGGGTGTTTGGGAATTGCATTTTGGATGTTTATGGTGTTAAAATGTTAATTATAGATATTTGTATTGTTGTGATGGCTTCGTATGGGTTTTTAGGATTTGATTATGTAGAAGGGAGTGTAATTATTTAGGATTAGATTTTTTAGAAGGGAGTGTAATTATTAAAGATGCACTATCACATGGTTCAGTCCAGAGTACTGATGAGTTCCACAGTATAAAAGGTGCCATTGAACATCTGTACTGTTGTTGCTGGTCAGAGCTCTGCAAGCATGTGAGCACTGGCGTAAATAAAAATGGGAAACTAATCCATCTAAGACTCCTCTGCATCACTTGTGCTGCTCCGCCTCCTACCGCTACCCGGTCCAGTCTACAGGCACAACTGGCCTAACTTAATTGAAGCAGCTGTCATATTGAAGGTTGTAAAACAGTTGACTAAATGGAAACATTTTCCATTTAAAAACAGCTAAATCAGAATGAGAAAAGGTTAATCCTTTTTATGTCTCATTTTGCAAAGATAAGAATTGAAACGTGTGTGTTTGAAATGCTAAACATCTATTTCTAGTCAGATAGCTGATGTATGTGTGTATATAAATACATAAATAATATTATAAGGAGTTTTCCTCTCCACTGTCACTAATTGCTTGCTTAGTATGAGGATTGCTGTAAAGTCACTGACTCTAGTCAGTGACTTGATGCAATTTGCTGGGTTCCTGATATAGGAAACGTTTTTCTGATTGGCTTAGTGAAGTGACCTGTTTTGGAATGTTTATTATGTGAAGTGCCTTGAGACGACTCTTGTCGTGGTTTGGCGCTATATAAATAAACTTGAATTGAATTGAACATATATGAGGTTTACCATTTCATTGATCTTATTCTGCTTCATCCACTTTGTTCTTTGCTCTGACTGCAGTGGTGTCTGGAGTTTTCAAATCCAATCAAATCAGTACCTCTGGTCATTATTCTGCTCGGTGTTTTAAAAAGTAAAACAAACACTTTTGTTTGCTGTTGACATTTAGGTTTGAATAATGAAAAAGTTGTGTAACGGTCAAAGAGAAGAAGGCATAAAGTTTGGGGAAATTGAGGGCAAGAAAAGTTTTATTTAAAGATATGAGTGCACAACAGCGCATAGGAGAAAATAGGATTTGAGTGAAATAAAATATTTACAACATATTTAAGATGTTTTTGGGGAAAATGGAAGATTTGTGTCAAGGGAAAGCACGTACAAAGAAAATCAGAGATGATGAAAGCAAAATATTTGAAAAGGTGGGATCAGAGAGTAGGTGAAGAGAAATAATCTGATTTTAAAAGATAATCGAAGGCAGAGTGAAGATGAAAGAAAGCAGAGGGAGAGAAAGGGAGAGAGAGAGATGAGTGGATCAGATGAGTGAGTGGAGGAGGAGTGGGGGGGTGATGATAAATGCTGTGTTTGCAAAAAAATGTAAGTGCAGCCATAAAAGTGGGCTCCATCAGAAAGCTGCTCATGTGCCTCAGAGTCTGCACACAGGTTATCATGTGACTGTTAGCAGTACATGTGATGGGAGGGGCTCTTTTTGGCTCTTTGAATATCACCAGTTGGTGTTTATGGATCCTGGACAAACTCCAGTTCACCCTGACAAAAGCTGATCAGAGATCAATAAAAGAAACTGTTAATGTTAAAACATAAAGACAGACTAAAAGACATAAAGAGTAAACTTTCTCACTACACCGTGATCTTCTACAGAAACTTCTACAGGGGTTCTAGTGTTCAAAGCCACGTTTACTTTACCCTGTTCAGTTCAGTTCACATTTATTGTCAACACTCGATAATTACTCTGAAACGAAAACACTACCACTGCATCTATAAAACATTCTTCTCACTCAAGCACACACACACACACACACACACACACACACCTGTAAAAACAACATTGCACACATTTGGACAGCTTGGGGTATCAGATGTAGCAAGAAGCTTGTGCCGTCTCTGAGCTGCTTCCATATATAAAATAATAATGTCATAACGGTCAGGAAGAAACGGTTTGTTCTGAGAAAAGCTGGTTTAACACGTCAGCTTAGACACACACCCATACATTAGTATGTCCCAACTAGGGATGTAAGAAAATATCAATATGGCAACATATAGTGATATTTTTCTGCTATATTATATCGATATTCAAAAGCTGTGTATCAAATTATTGGAAGAATTTACATGCAAAGATTTTCTTTTCTTTCGATGCAATTCAAATGCTGACCCCTAGTTGGCAGCAGTGTGCAATGGGATTTGTTTCCACCATTGAAATGTAAATCCCTCTATTATGGTTCAGATACCTCATGTTAAACATGTTACAAATCAGTTTGGACTGTTAATTGAATTTTCCTACAATAAATTAAGTCTAAAAAATTGCTAATGTCATCTGACTAAATGTATAGCAATATATTGTGATATATCGTATCGTCTCCCCTGTATCGTGATATGTATCACCAGAACTTCTCCAATACACATCCCTAGTCCCAACCCACTTCTACGTCTGCAATATGTAAATATTAGTTGTGGTAATTCTAGCAGAGCAACACTGGCCAGAGCTACTGCCAACGCTAGCACAAGCTACTGCTAAAGCTAGCCCAAGCTAACATCCTTTTTGGACGAGGAGAGAACAACAAAGAAGAATTGTCTGAGCACACATGCAATGTTGCAGGATGTACTGGGGATATCCAGACTTTCATTTAGTGCCAAATGGATCTATAGCTTGTCTCGGTAGATCAGCACTTTCTGGAAACAACAACCAGTCTCTCAAATCACCTTTCTTCTCCATTTGATCATCAACACATCTAGATGATTAAATGCATTGAGTTACCACTGCGTGATTGGCCAATTAGCTCTTTAAAGTAGCAAGTAGTTGAGCAGATGTAATTAATAAATGATAATTTGACTGTATTTGATATAGCCTTTCGAGGGTTCTACAGCCCCCCAAGGCACTTTACAACACAAACAGAAATGACTACATGTGACTACATTGTAGCCACATCTGGCCTTTGGGGCACTGACAGAAGCGAGGCTGCTGAGGCCTGGCGCCACCAGTCCATCCAACCACCACCACCACCAGGCAAGGTGGGTCAAGTGTTCTGCCCAAGGACACAACAACTGCAACAGACGGGGCTCAAACCCGCAACCCTGTGGTTGCAGGGCACACACCTAACTCTTCTGCCTCCCTGTGGCCTGAGAATGTAATTTAAATACCAAGAAGCTAAATTGTTTCAACATGTTTACAATATTTTTTCTGCTTCCAGCGACAGAGCCATTAGTGAAACTTCTCACAAAATAGAACATTTTACTAACTTTTTTCTTATTTTGTGTCTTCAACTAGTTTCTGCTGAGTCATATTGAGCAATAAAACAAGCAGGTGCAAAAAAATCTGTTTCCTCAAAGATCATGATTTTGCCAGTTGCTTTTAAATGTAGTAAAAGGTTGAAATGAGACTATTCGGGTCACTTTCAGCCCAGTCGGTGCACTCCTATTCAGGATCTTAACTTGCAGGTTCAGGCCAACATTAAAGAGCCCACACTGCTTTCTGCTGACAACCCAATAAAACAACATGTCAAATGATCTGATGTAACAATGTATATATCCTCAGATAGGCGGAGGCTGCTGCAGAGTCCTGTTTTAGCAACGAGACGGTCAATAATCACGCCCTTGAAGGTTTTTATAGTTTGGCTGTGTCATATATTATTGATTTTTACTGAATATCTGTTATATGTGGATTATTTGTGTGTGTGTGTGTGTGTGTGTGTGTGTGTGTGTGTGTGTGTGTGTGTGTGTGTGTGTGTGTGTGTGTGTGTGTGTGTGTGTGTGTGTGTGTGTGTGTGTGTGTGTGTGTGTGTGTGTAAACCCGTGGGGATTGTAAGTTTAATATACACACACACCTTTCACTCCAGGGTCTCATTATACAACACATTAGCAGCTGACAAGGTGCAGGACCACAACCCTGGAAACAACCATATCGGCTGGCTTTTACCTACCCCCCCTCTCTAGGTGCTTTTATAATCTCACTCTCTCTCTCACACACGAGGGCGTAGAGAGCATACAGTCGTTCGCTCGTGCTGCCTTAAAGCTGTGTGCTATTTAAGATTCAGTGGGAGGCCTTGCTGCAGAAATGTGCTTAATAAGCTCACACACATACACACACAGAGCTGCTGTTTATTTACTACAACTTTAATACATCCAGCTGGATGTCCACTTTCATTTATGCTGCATATTTAATGTCATGTTAATAAGAGTGGCTCTGTGGGGTCTCTTTTGTTACACAAGACTTAATAATGTGAATAATTTCGTAAAGTCCCCCTGCTCGATCGACGTAATTACAGAAAGCCAAAGTGATGCCTCCACTCTCTTTTCCTTCATACTGAACTTAAGGTAGAATTTGGGTTCACAATTTTTTTTTTTCACAAACAAGTTCAGGATTGACCATAACCCTGTAATTGTGGAACTGGAGACACGTTTTCATGTTTTTCATGTCCCACTGGTGTGAAGCTGAAATTATCTGTAGGATTTCTGTCAAGAACATCTCATTGATTAGCTAATTATCGACAGAAGAGCTCCGGTTTCTCCAGCAGAGCAGAAAACACAGAACCATCATTTTTCTTTACCCATCTTTCTCTGTTTGGGGGGGAAAAAACGGTTCAAACCAGAATTTAATCCAATGTTCAGCTTTGGAAATTCAAATGAGACTTTCAGTAAAAGTGTTAGAACAAAGTGTGTCGCTGGGAGTTTAATTAAGAAGTCTCACTGTGGGTTTTATGTTTTTTCATCTCAGATCCCAGAGGAGCACGATTTGGAGAGTCAGGTGAGGATGGAGCGACAGTGGAGGTTCCTGAGGAACGCTCGAGTCAGACGTCAGAGTCGGGTCATCACACAGCGAGGTGAGCATGAGCTTGATTTACAAAGAAAACCTGATTCTTTAAAACATGTTTCTGTTTTAGTAGAGTATGATTTTATTGGCCAGAGGAAGGAATGCTCGAATCAGATCATTGTCATTTAGATTTCAACCACATAAGGATTTCCTGTTAAACCGATCCTGATGTATTTCACCTCTTTGGTCGACTCAAACAAGGGTTAAGAATCAGGATAAATTGAATGTTTATAAAACTTTAATAAAAGCTGGAGCGATGATTCGGCGTGAGCAGGGCGAGTAAAGAGCACCAGAGTCCCAGAAATAATAAAAAATGAAAAAAAACTGGAGAAAAAAATGAATAAAACACCACAGAGGAGCTCAGAGAAAACATCCTTTTCAATTTTAAAGAAAGTCATCTGGATCTGGTGTGAAAATGCTGCCTTTGCCTGAGCCGTGTTCCTGAGTTTTATGAGATTTACCGAGTTGGATTTAGAAACAATGCTGGTTATAAACCCCAAAGCCTCCGCATCAACGCTTCACATTTTTATTCATTTGGGGGAAAACAGAATATAATCCTTAGAGTATAATAGTTAAATAATCATGTTACTATTAAGTTAATAATAGGGTAGCGGTAATGATGTTTAACTCTTTATTTCTTCTTTTTTTTATTTAGTTCAGAAATTTTTGTTACGTCTGTGCTTTGATCTTTTATGTTTCTACTGTTCATTAAAGAATAAATAAGAGTTGATTAAAGCTGCATCGAATCTTAAATTAAGTAAAGAATTAAAACAGGTTTATGTCATTAATGCTGTTAAACTTTTTAAGAAACATTTTCATTTAAAAAAAATTTCACTTTAGTTTTTTACTTCTCAGATATTCATAGTTTCATCTAAAGTTGACTCTAATGGTGGAATCTGAAGTTCTTGAAATTGATTGCAGAACCGTATTGTTTACGTTCAAAAGACGAAGAACTGATGTGATTGTTTAGATTGTAAGCGTTGAGTCTGCGTGTGGTGACATCCTCCAAAATAAGATGCTGGAAACTCTAAACTCCCTCTGAAGGTGTTGGAAACGAGTTAGAAGGAAAAGATGAATGAAGTCGGATGAAAGCATCCCAACAATACCAGCACAGTGTCTTTATTTATTTATTTGGTAACACTTTAGTTTAGGGAGCACAAATGAACCTTTAATTAGCTGCCAGTTAATATGCATATTAGTGGACTGCTAAGTCTGAACTAGTCATTATTAAACACTTACTAAGAGCTTATTACTAATGCCCTAATTATAACATTAACAGGCCATAAATTAAGAGTTTTATCAAAATAAGCCATTCATAATGGTTTGTTAACTGAAAGTAACTGGTTTGTTGCTGATTAACGCCAGAGTTGGAAAGAGTACTAAAATTTCCTACTTAAGTACGAGTACCAATACTTTGATAATTTTTTCTCAATTACAAGTAAAAGTACTTGCCTAAACTTTTACTTAAGTAAAAGTAAAAAGTATCGTAAACAAATTGTACTCAAAGTAAAAGTTACTTAGTTACATTTTTGTCAGCGTAAGGATGGCTACATCTAAGTAGTGCTAAATCACAACGCCAGTTCACAATTCGCTCGTGTGTGCGCGCGCACACACATACACACACGCTCAGCTTGAAGGAGGGATTTCTATCCAATCAGTGAGAACAGGACTTGCACATTGATTGGACAAGGTTTTTCTAGGATAGTAAGTTTCAATTGTGGTTAAAATTATTCTTTATTTTGAGAAAAAATAATTTTTTAAGATGCCATCAGTGTGTGAGGTATCTCAATGTTTTCATGACAAAACTCTAACATGAGATTGTGCTCTAACCTGTCACATAATATAACAAGCCTAATGCAGTCAAACATTTCAGATGGACCGTATGACAGCTGCTAACGTTGGCCCTGCCCTACTTTACCTCTACATTACAGTTCCTTTATTCGTGTCCATCCTAGAGCTCCTCTCTGACCTTCATGCTTATTTAGAGCAGCTGATTTTTAGAGCTAGCAGAGGGCATCCTTGGTGGTGGGTTCACTCACTCATTCAACCCTTCACCACTGAAATCAGTTTGTTCATTCTAGTCCTCCTAAATAATCCTCCAATCGTCCAGCTGGAATCCTTAAGGGTCCCGTAACGTCCATCCTGTCAGAACAGGCCTTGGGAGCCCAGGTGTTACCAGAACTAATGGTGTCTCCTCACCAGCATGAGCCTCCAAACATGAACTTTAAATTTATGCATTTATCTCCTCTTGTAAAACTTTAACATGTTTTAAAAGGCTAGTATCATGATAAGTTACACCTCCCAGACCAAAGATAAGATAAAATATTATCATAAACACTGCAGAGACGTCATTATGTATGAAATATAAGTTATTTTCCTGAGCCATTACTTCAGCCAAGATATAGGACTGCATGGATTTGATGAAACCATGCTGTCTCATGCAGTCCTATATGTGTAACACACACACACACACTGCAGCATGTTAGAATCTTTTGAATGACTAATTTAACTTCATTGAACTGCTTTAGTAATAT